CAAAGTGGACGGAGTATTGATGATAAATTCACGGCTACTTTCATCAAAAATCGCCGTGGTTTGCATCTCGACCGCATTGTTTCCGAATCCCAATTCTGTCAATCCAAAACATCCTATATCGTTTAAATTATCAATTCCTGGTAGCAAATGTCTATGCCGTTCTGTTCCTAATTTTATAACGCTTCCACCAAATAAATTCCATTGAACTGTCATCTATAATTGAATTGGTATGATTTAATTGAGATTATTGAACAAACTGTTGGATTGATTGGCAGCTCAAATTTTAATCATTTTTTTTATTTACCTTTGTGCCCATTGATCCATCAACCATTCCTGCAATTTCATGTGCTATTTAATCGTAAACAAATAAATATAATAATAAGTAAATAAAAAATTACAAAAATATTGTTACTATTCTTTTTCTCCTTCGAATATTATTACCCGCAAAGATATTCAATGGATTTTTTTCAAAGTCAAGAACAGAAATGAATTTTTGATCAGCCAATTTTTTTAATCTTTGTAAAGCCAATTCTCTTTCAAATTCCAAAGAAACATTGTATCTTGGTATATAAATTGGATCAGAGGCCATAAAATTTATCATCGCTTTACGATTTTCATGATTATCGTTTGCTAATAAATGTCCCAATGCTAAAAAATCTTGACGAGTAAACGACATGTTTTTTCCTGAGATAATAATTAAAAAAAAAACCTAATATGTACATGGATCTTTTATTTATATTAGCTACAGGAAACTATTCGGCTTACCAAAAATGGGATTCGCTTCTCGGGGGTGAAAGTTTTTGGCCGAGTTAGGTGAAATTAATATATGAGCATGGATATTTACATTTGTGTTACAAAAATATTGAACGTTTATTGATTAATTATTTTTTAATAATAACAAAACATCATTTTCACAACATGTTTCGTTTCTATTGAAAAGCCACAACTAGAATGTTTTCATTAATACAATTAATGTTAGTAATCTGTATTCTTTTTTAATGAATGTTAGTAATCTGTATTCTTTTTTATTGAATGCTGGTAATCTGTATTCTTTTTAATGAATGTTAGTAATCTGTATTCTTTTTTAATGAATGTTAGTAATCTGTATTCTGTTTTATTGAATACTAGTAATCTGTATTCTTTTTAATGAATGTTAGTAATCTGTATTCTTTTTTAATGAATGTTAGTAATCTGTATTCTTTTTTATTGAATGCTAGTAATCTGTATTCTTTTAATGAATGAGTGAAATTAATAAAAAAAGGTCATTATGTTTGTTTCTTAACCTATTTTTTTAAATATAAGTTAGTAATAATAATAATGATAGTCCAATGACTTTAAAATAATCTAGTGCTTGAGCAATAATAGCCATTATTTTCAAGATGTAGTAGTTGGTGTTATTGGCTTATTGTATATTTTCAAAGACACCTACCTACCTTTTCAAAGATTGCTTCTTTACTGATCTAAAAAAAAAACCACGAATAGAGAATACTTTTCCATTATCAGAAGGCTGCCATTAATAATAAGTAAATGGTCCATAGTGTAATTCGCTTACTAAAGAGCCTTTATTTAAAAGAGCAACAGGAATATAGTAACAGGTTATTAGTTGATAGTGGTTCTCCTGAGATTTGAGATTTACATTTTACATTTAAATTTTCTATTAAAAATTGGAATTTTTCTCCCGATCATCAATTAATATTTGTATCTGATTATTGAAGGATTTGTTATTTGAATCTTTTTTACCTGAAAATAAAGTGAACTGGTGATGTTTTTATAATGTTCCAATACAATGTGAGATTATTTACCTTGTTTCAATGTCAGGATCAAAGATCAATCAGATTTCTCCAAAAGGAAATTTTTCGATGGATTTTATCCGAAAGGAAAATTTTTTCTTATCCATCCCTCCAAAAATCAAAAAAAAATTGTACATATTGTTTGTTTACCGATTGACAATGTAGAAAAAAGTCTTTGATTAATTGAAAGATAACCAACAATTAATTAATATTTACAAGCTTAAAAATGTATTCAATCTCAAGTTCCATGTTCAAAAATGGACTTATTGACTTTAATACAATTGCATTTTCTCTTCTATACAAGTCTTCTAAATCAACTCAACCATATAGTATTCGAAAATTTTTTTTCATTTTTGAAGATTGTTTGTCGCTAAAAATTTCATGGAGCATTTTCATTTTCATTTCCGAAAACTTCATATTTAATGTTAAGATCTTTACACATGTATTCCACCACCTGACTCCATTCATTTCCTAAATCGGATTTACTCCATTCTACGACATCTCCTTGTGCATTGACATTATCTATTCTTTCAGGCATCCATTTGTATAATGTCTGCATTTCCCCTGCCACAAAATTTACATCAATAGGAATAGTTTGATTTTGACGATGCTTCCAAAATTTCTGAAAAGTTTGGGATTCTTTTCAAGATATTTCTTCCACCTTTCTTTTCGGTTTCCACGAATATTCATCATCCTTTCTTCCCAACGTTCTAGGAATCAGTTACAAATCCAAAAAAACGAATAAGCAAATAAAATGTCAATAGTAGAAGTAAACAATTTTTTACTAACCCAAAACACCTCTAACACGCACAGATCCTTTTATTCTCAAATAGTCCGACCCTGAAGAAATAAGATTCGAGATTAATTGTTAAAAAACAACGTTAAGCAATTCCAAGCAAAACTCATCATACGCACTCTAAATATCTCTAAATCTTTTGTAAGTACAATTATTTCTTTTTCCTTTTCTTTTGTAATTGTTTCTTTTTCCTTTTCAATTATTTCTTTTCTCATAATTTCACGTTCCAGGTAACGAAACTTCTTAAACAATACCATCTGTTCGGGAGCTGTGAGTGATTTAAAAGCATTATTAATATCCTCCTCATCTTCAGGTATATTATTTCGATATATAAACGTTTGCTTAATACTGAGAAAAAGCTTTTGTTTGCCATAGAGAGAAGGGATTTGTTAGCTACGGGGAAAAAAGTTTTTTCGATGTAGGGCGAAGGAGGTTCATGGAGTTAAGATTTAAAATTTGTGTTGGGTATTAGAGAAATACGTTTTTGACGAAAACATTAAAAGCCGTAATGAGCAAAAAAATGACATCATTTAGGCCAAGACAATAGTCTATTTTATTAAATTCAAAACATATAAATATGACAACTGTTCCCGCATTTTTTTCGTAACACCAACGTAGAGGAAGAACATTCCTCTCGGGCCATTTCGGCACAAGATAAAATTCAAGCTTACGAATGTGCACGCACATTCAAACTATGCTTCGCATTCGGTGCTAATTTTGATGCTTTGAACAAATATGTATATGATTGATGTCGTGTGATTTTATGACACCAGAATATCATCGCGCCATAATAATAATGCTAATCTGTATTTCACGAAACTCACTGTTACGTTTTCGTTTAAATTTGTTATTTATGAAAATTATAACATAAAATCATACTCTTTTTATACAAAACATTATTTAGAGTGTGTTGCAAAAAAAACCGGAAAATTACTGTTGTCAAAAAACTTTTTATAATATTACTAAAAATTCATCAACTTGACTCAAATAAATTTTCGAACAAACTTTAATTTTTTAAATCATTCATTTAAATCATTTTCTAACTGAATCTGGCAATTAGTTGTTGAGTAATTTGCTAAAATTCACAATATGGTTGAATTTTACTTGCTTTTTTGCAATTATGTTATTAAAATAAATCAGATACATTTACCTAATCAATATATCAGATTGCTAACACTCCTTTCTCAAATAACTATTTCAATATTAATAAGTTGTATGAAACGGGTGATGTGACTTATAGGAGAGTTAATCGTTCGAAGAAACGGAATTACCTTTGAAATCACGTGATATATCACAATTTATTATTATTAATATTATGTACTAGATTTCTTTAAAATTTTGGTAGTCATTATAAATAATGATAGAAGTTAAAATTTAGATGTGAGACGATTCATCATAGAAAAGTGGAATCCAACTCCTGATTTATTTCTAATCAATTTACTTTGATAAAAAAAATCAAGATGTCAGCCTGTAATTAAAATCAATAGTGAAAGTATTTCGTATTAAAATATATCCAATAAAAGTTCTTAACCTATTGGATGGAAATATTTCTATACGAATTAATGCAGTAGTTGTTCCGTGATGATTAATTTGATTTTTCCGGTTTGTTTTGCAAACACTGTACATGTAATTTTATGTTATCTGATCGTTTTCCAATTATTTGAGTGGTTTTAACTATAGACTTATAACATCGATATTGTAGATAATAGTAGATTTGACGAATTAAAAATAATTGATAAAAATTAAAAAATAATATAATGGCAATAATGAACTTACAAATTTCTTGGGTTTTTTTCAACTCGATTATAATCTCTTGTTATTGATCTACTTTGAATCTTTACATATTCGTCTTTAGTTGCATTCAAAACGATGCGTAATTCATTAGAGTAACACACACCAATAACATTAATTTAGGAACGGATGAAAGAAAAATCTGATAAAGTGATAGGAGAAAAATTTTCCATGATTTCCATGATGGTGAACTTTAAAAGACTGTAATTGGGAAAGAATTACATAATGTATCAAATAGGTTAGGGATGAACTTATTGTTTAAACCTTTTTAAACTTTATTACGACAACGTAAATTTTAAAAAAATTTGATGTGACACGAATCAAAAATAGAAATATTTTTATTCAACAAATTTGTAAGTGACATACTAATTTTCAAACCAATTCTAAAATAATGTGTAAAGTTAAAGGAAGAAGCCTTTGTTTAAGAAGATAGATTTATACCGGTCTATTTGTCAATATTTAATTGTTTATTTTATCAAAATGTGTAATACGATGTTACGAACCATTATTATTATTGTTATTATTATATATAAAAATGTAGGAATGCACCCCGCAGATCATTAATTCACTCATTCACTACCTTTTTTGCGCGTACTTTATATATATATATATTGAAAAATACAATGTTGACTTTAGCAAAAACTGAACATCAAGAAATAATTGACAAATTTGGCGGAGAATTTGAATTTCGAATCGGGACAAGTTTTAAGAATCGCAATCGACCTTTATATTATCAATTTACATGTAAATTTATTTATACTTTATATTTTATTATTTATTATAAACAAATATTTATTATACATAATATTATTTAGTTGAAGTTAATACAGAAGATATAGATTTTACAAATGAGGCAACTATAAAATTTGCTGAGAGTAAAGAAACATTTGAAATTATTTATAATGAACAAAAAGGGGTTAGCCTCAATGCTTTACTACCTAGTTCTTTTAAACAATCGATATGTATGTGCGTTTATTTATGTACTTGTGTTTGAATTTTAGGTAGAGGGTCCATTAAAATTAACCGGACATTTGGTTGAAGATAGAGTCATAATAATACTTATGATTCGGAAGCCATTAAAAGATTTTTGATGAGAAAACAAATGTAAATCTTTTTTTTATTATTATTTTTATAAATAGAATTAATATTAATATTAACAACTGTTGATTGAAATTTATTATTTT